AAAAACATAATATCAATTATTTTTTTCTCTAGGGAAGTTAAATCTCGTAGATTTAGCAGGCAGTGAGCGAGTGTCCAAGAGTGGATCTGAAGGTGCCCGAATGAAAGAGGCTCAAAACATAAACAAGTCTCTCTCCTCTTTGGGCGACGTAATCCACTCTTTGAAAAACAAGAACTCCCACGTGCCGTATAGGAACTCCAAGCTTACCTACCTACTGCAGGAATCCTTAGGTGAGTCAGTTAAATGTGCTAATAAAATATGCGAGAAAACTAAAAATAGAACTAGGATGTATAAGGTAATTAGTTGGCAATAAAGAGGATCCGGAATAAGGAATGGGGACCTTAGATCCGACAACGGCGACGTCCATTAAGATGTCGCTGAAAAATACACTTCTCATCCTTGCACACTATTTTGCGATTATCTCAAGTCACCCTGTTACTTAAAAGAAGGGAATTTAGGTTGGAGCTGAAGAGAGGGGATCGCGCCCCAGTTCAGACAGAGATGGTAGAATTTATTGCCTTGCAGTTCCCGTTCTCAAGTAAACTTAAAATTTGGTCATTTCACGTCCCAGTTGTACAGAGACGGCAAAGAAATTTACAAAAAAGCGTGATGCACGTGCAGAGTTGTTGTTTTGCTTCTTAAATCTGTTGCTTTTTTGACGTTGCCGTCGCCGTCGCCGTCGTAGTTTCGTAAGGTCCCTAATATGTGCAGCGCGAAGCGCGAAAATGAGTGATAAACAGCAAATGGAAGATCTTTAGAGAGGCTACCAAGGCATCGAAAATGCTGTGAACTATCCCCCTCATAAGTTTAACTGACTTAACTCAATGACACAAGAACTTTTCTAATTTAACTACTTATTGCAGGAGGTGATTCGAAGACTCTTATGGTGGTGCAAGTGGCTCCAGTGGAAAAGAACGTGAGCGAAACTATGTGCAGTCTGAACTTCGCACAGAGAGTACGAACAGTTGAACTCGGACAAGCCACCAGAAAAACTGAGACTGCAGAAATGGCGAGCATGAAGGACAGGTTGCGTGAATTAGAGGTATGAAAATAAAAGCTTCTTCTTGTTGTCTAAGAAGAATAAAGACACCACCTTACAAACACGTTTGCCTCACCACAAAAATCGCACCGCGTACCCGAAATGGCAAGTGCGCGAGTGAGGTAGCGTTCAGACCCTACCTTTTTGGTAGAATATCGCAAAGATTATTGGGTCTTGATAGAATTCATTGGCGCTCGTCGCTGCGACAATTTCTTTCTTCTTCTTTTTTTTTTTTTGTTAAACCCAGTTGGGGGGGGAGGCCTCTGTAGCTGGCGGGTAGAGTATGTGGGGGTGCTTCGAAGCTCAACAGCCGTTGCGCGGAGCAAGAGGCGAAGCCTCCAGCTTCCCGCTAGCTAAGCAGGCCATTGTTTATTTGTGTAGAGCGTTTACGCATGACCGCCATACTACCGAAACAGGAAGACCGCGAATTCAACCAAACGCGTGACAGTTGATTTTGGCGCCACAGGCTAACGACTTTGGTCACGTGGCTTTGTTTGTCAAACTAAAAAAGTGAACTTACATGGTCACATTCTTTTCTCAGTGCTGGCTTCGTTGTTCGCGCATCAGAGTGGTCAGAGTTTATTATAGCGCTAGAAGGCTGCAACCGTAAGAGCTTTCTTCATAGATTGACTTTCTGCGAACGAAAATTTCGTCTTTTTGGTTGATAGAGAACACCATTTTTCGACTTGGCCTATGTTTGGCCTACTAAACGCTCGGGAATATGACCACGCGAGTTCACCTTTTTGGTTTGACAAACAAAGCCAAGTGACCTAAGTCGTTAACGTCTGGCGCCAAAGTCAATTGTCACGCTTTTCGGAATGGGCGGTCTACCTGTTTCGGTGGTATTGGTGTCCCAAAACAATGCAACGACGCCCATGATGGTGTTCCAAACCAGTCCTGTGGAAGCTGACTTTTTTTTGGACTACACACTTTCTTGCTGCAATAAATTTGTATAGCTGTTGGCCATGTGAGTGAAAACGCTCTTTAACTGTATTATTTGATTTCGTTTTTGCAGGGAGGAGCCGGGTCGCCATCTGCATCGCCAGCTAAGGGAGGAATAAGATCAGCTAGGAAAAGATAGTAGACTACAGAGTGTATGATAAATTGTCTTATAGCCTTCGAGCAAGCTCTCCAATTGTGGCAAGCGTAGTAAGCCGCGAAAGAAAACGCGAGTGTTCCTCGCACTTGCGCCGGTCTCCTTTCGCGTGTGGCTCTTGCGTGACTTCTCGCAACTCCCCCAAATGGAGAGCTTGCTCGCAGGCAATTGCATCATTATAATTATTACTTAGGAACGTAATTTGTACATAGTTAATGTGCTGTTTTTAAAAGCAGTGAAATGTTCCTTCTTTGGTGGAGTAGAGGCCGGGTGAAGTTTTTTAAACCATAGTTAGCCTGCGAGCAAGCCCCTTTTCCTCCCCACCTCTGACCCTTGGGGGAGCTTGCTCGCAGGATTGACCACAGTTGAACTGATTGAACTTAAGTGATGTTCGTTTTGTGTACGTACAGCATCCATAACCTACAATCGTGGACAAAACTTCTTGGAACAGAGATTCAGTGCCCGTAATCGTCTGTTATTTCAGCGTGCCTTCAGAAAGTAGTGCCAGTTCTGTTGCAATTCCCCCTTCCCCACCGAATGCATTGCTCAAACTCAGAAAAAATTGTGATTGCAAGTGTGTAACGCCGTATGCTAAGGTTGGGCATGTGTACCGGTAGTTTCATTTGCGCGCAAGTGTTTCACGTGCGTGAAAAGGCGCAATAAATACAGATAGTCTGTCCGTCCGAGTCGTTTGTCCATGAGTGTTGCTATGTAGTTTTCTTGCTCAAGAGCAGACTTTAAAATCTTATTCGTGTCATGAATGTAACCTAAAGCTTTTTTCCCCGTTTTTGGCATCAAATCTTTTTTAATATTAACTTTGTGGATTGAAAATGGCAGCCGACTTTTCATAGTAAAATTTCAAGTGCAGATGAATTAACGCACAAAGCGGGCTAAATGAAGAATGAAGAATTATTGAGGCGTCTTTTTATCAACAGCGTATGTAAATAAGTGATTACAAATATTTTTAGTATTTAACGAAATATTTTGTAAAACGAGAAAGCAACTGCATGTAATTTGTATTTATCGCTATTATACAGTTTTAGTATCTCATAGAACTTAGGTAGGTTTTATAAGTATTGTTAAGAAATTTTGCACAGTTTTACATCATTCCTAGAATTTGTGCGTCGTGATTTCACGTCACTTATTTATAACAGTTTTATTCTCCTGTAAACGAATGAACCGAACGAATTTTTTATGACAATTGTAAATAGATGCCTTACCCTAGCAATCAGCTAGGAATTTTTCTTTTTTTGAAAAAAAAAGTTGCACCAAAATAGGTCTAACGATCTAGTCATTCTTAGGCTTGATGAGTAAATAAAGGTCAGAGTTTGTTTTCCGATGAGGTTTTCTCATTCCTTGTGTTGCTTAAAAAAATCAACGCATTTGTAGTTTTCTGTGTCAGGCGGCTATATAAGAGAAGGGAAGAAAAACTGACTAAATTCTGAGAAGTGCCCTTGGGTGAAATGTAACTGAGTATTCTCTCTCAATACCCAGCTCTTTTTTTGGCAAAAACCCTATAGATAATTCAATAAGTTTAGGGTTTATATTCTTAACCGGGGCAGGTGAAAGTAGTTTCTCCTTGTGAATTAATTTTTTTTTCCGCGAAAGTGGTTACTTTATTTATGCTTAAAGGTTCATCCGTTGATTTTTTCCAAACCATAATCTAAAACGAACAAAAATTTCTCTCATCAAGAACCAGTCCCAACTGAATCAAATTAGCAATAATTCATAACAGGTTATCACCTAAATCCTTCACAGAACCTTTAGTTTATATTTAATACTTTCTAAANTAAAAAAATCAACGCATTTGTAGTTTTCTGTGTCAGGCGGCTATATAAGAGAAGGGAAGAAAAACTGACTAAATTCTGAGAAGTGCCCTTGGGTGAAATGTAACTGAGTATTCTCTCTCAATACCCAGCTCTTTTTTTGGCAAAAACCCTATAGATAATTCAATAAGTTTAGGGTTTATATTCTTAACCGGGGCAGGTGAAAGTAGTTTCTCCTTGTGAATTAATTTTTTTTTCCGCGAAAGTGGTTACTTTATTTATGCTTAAAGGTTCATCCGTTGATTTTTTCCAAACCATAATCTAAAACGAACAAAAATTTCTCTCATCAAGAACCAGTCCCAACTGAATCAAATTAGCAATAATTCATAACAGGTTATCACCTAAATCCTTCACAGAACCTTTAGTTTATATTTAATACTTTCTAAATGCTAATATGAACTTATGCTACCTTTTAAAGGTTTATTAAAGTGGACAATAAACTACATAAGCCATTTGAACCTCAGATAATGAGCACGAACGTAAATACAGCTCACTTCAGTTTCAAGTTTAATCAGTCTTTCACTAGCTCTCAATAACTCTTGCTTGAATGCGTTTGTTTGCCTTTTATACGGTCAACTTCATCCTTATCTCGTTATGTAATTTTCATGGCGCTTTTCATTTAAACATGAGTTTTTATCATTGGCTAAGTCTGATCATGATTCAAAACCTGTCGGAAATTTTTCAGTATAAACTACTGATGTGTTATCTTATCTTGGCAAGCCATGCACTCTGTCAAATATTCTTTTGCTGCTTTTTTTAAGGAAGTTGGTCAAATCATTATATTATTTAAATAGCTTTTGTAGTCGGAACCAAGAGAAAGATAAATACAGATATTTTAAATTACGCAATACTAAATGATCAGTCACGAATATTTACCGCATTGTAATATTAGGAGGTCTTTGCAAAAAAAATGGCCAGTTTTTTTGTTTTTTTTGTTTTTTTTTTCACGTTTCCATTTCAGTACATACTGTGTGGCACTTAAACTAAGCGGATTTTATTGTTGAGATTTTACTTGTGGTTTCCATTAAAAAACTTACTTCTATCTTCTTACAATCCCTTTACACTTAACAAATATTCTGAGAAATGCTTCTCGAAAAGCCTTGCTGAACGCTGCGTACACGAACACGTTGACGGCAGTGTTCAAGTATATCATAGCAACAGCCGTTTGGGACAAATATGGAGAAACTTTCAAGTTTCCCAATGTTTCAGTAACATCGATAACGGTTATAGGAACGACGAGTACTACAAATAAACACACTAGGACTACGACCATTTTGGCTTTTTTTCTCTGTCGAATAACCACATCTATGGTTTGTTTTCTTGAATTCGTTTCGACCTCGTCTTGGCTGTAATTGGCATGTNCTAAATGATCAGTCACGAATATTTACCGCATTGTAATATTAGGAGGTCTTTGCAAAAAAAATGGCCAGTTTTTTTGTTTTTTTTGTTTTTTTTTTCACGTTTCCATTTCAGTACATACTGTGTGGCACTTAAACTAAGCGGATTTTATTGTTGAGATTTTACTTGTGGTTTCCATTAAAAAACTTACTTCTATCTTCTTACAATCCCTTTACACTTAACAAATATTCTGAGAAATGCTTCTCGAAAAGCCTTGCTGAACGCTGCGTACACGAACACGTTGACGGCAGTGTTCAAGTATATCATAGCAACAGCCGTTTGGGACAAATATGGAGAAACTTTCAAGTTTCCCAATGTTTCAGTAACATCGATAACGGTTATAGGAACGACGAGTACTACAAATAAACACACTAGGACTACGACCATTTTGGCTTTTTTTCTCTGTCGAATAACCACATCTATGGTTTGTTTTCTTGAATTCGTTTCGACCTCGTCTTGGCTGTAATTGGCATGTAGGCCTTTGTGTATGTCTTGAATTTTCTTTGCATGCCAGTGGCTTTTCTTCACAAGGTAACAATTTACAGGGATTACGATAAGAAGAGGAAATAAACAGCATCCCGTGGTGAAAGCCATAACTGCGGGTTTGGACAGCGTACTCGACAACAAACAGATTTTCGACGCGTTCTCCTCTTTGAAATCCTCTTTGCCATCCCGTAATCCAACACCGCTTAACAGACAGATGGCAAACACGCCCATCACAATCCAAAAGCCTGCGATGAGAATCAAAATCACACTTTTTGACGCATGTTTATCGTACAAAAATGGAAACCTAACACCAATGAAACGATCAAAAGATATTAACACGATGTTGAGCCGTGAAACGCCATCGAATAAAATACTAAACGCGAGGACGACATTGCAAGAAACTAACACAGTACTTGAAGTGTTTATTCCCTCTAGCAGTCGAAGTGGAATTGCAACAGTTGCGACCAAAAAATCAGCAACGGCCAAGCTGAGAACAATCCAGTTAGTCTTGTTCCTTAAGTTTTGATTGATAAAGATGGACAAAACAACCATAGCATTTGCAAGTGCTCCTGCTACAGAGATGAACGCCATGAATGTAACAAATGCTGTTCTCCCCTGTAAGGTAAGAATCTCGCTTTGACTAGAGTTTTTCATGATTATTGACTCTTGTCTTGTTATGACTTGTTTAACTATCTTTCCCCGCCTTGACCAGAGTTTATAGTCTATAGCGAATTTATGCCTTACATCATTTTTCCGAAATCACGTCAAAACAGCTTTTTTCAGCTGTTTTTATTGTTTAAGAGTTTAGCCTAGGGCAACCAATGGTCTCAGCTGACAATAATTAACAAGGCTATTTACCTAATGGGTACATTAATGGAACTGCGTAACGAATATTTGGCCTCTTTCAAGTCCTAAAAGCATACCTTGAAAAAGAAAGACCATGAATAATTGTGTATGGTTATTTTAAATAACTCTGCTACCTCTCTACCTAAGCTATATATTAAGGGTATGTCTTTGACTTTGAAAACCAGGATGGAAATGGATTGCAACTTAGGCCCATTCTTGCGAGTTGAACTTTTTCTGTTGTTCAAAAATCACCAAAAAAAAGATCACTCTTTGTTTTCCCTGTAACTTTTAATCCCTTGATGTCTTTATTTTAGTGAAAGGAAAAGAAAGCAAGAGAAAAGATGAAGGAAGCCATTATTTTTAATTATTACTCACCACCTACGCCTAACTTAGCGTGAAATTCAAAAAGCCCAAGTGGCTGCACTTCATGATCCGCGATCGCGACTTATACTGCTAATTGTATATTGCATATATCAATTTTTTTTAGGTCCAAACTTTTTAAAGAAAGAAAATTAAGTTGAGAACGCTTAAATCGAGAAATATAATGCCCTTTTTTCATGTTTACCTGTTGAAATCTCGAAAATAAAACCCCGCGAAATATCTCGTTAAAACTGCGAAATTAATGAGTACGAATAAGAGGGTGTGAATGGGGTTAACCGACTAGCGACAAAGGGCAAAAAATATTACTGACTACCGACAAAATGAGTAAAAAAATACCGACTACCGGCAGGAAAACTGAAATATTAACCGACTACCGACATGGGCTGATATTATCAATATTTGTTTTCAGAAAAAAGAGCATTTTCCATTTTTTTTCTAGCCGTTAGGAAGTAACCTCTTTAAATTTATGACTCATCAGATGGCCTAAGGGAAATAATTTTCTTTTTTTTTTTGTTAATACAGGTACATACCTTAAAGATGCTACCGACTTTATAAATGTTATTGAAAAGTCAAAGGCGAAAAAACCGAACGTTTCTTGTTTCGGTCCGAGAAATGCTTAGATTAATCCTCAAAGAAAATTTTTTCCCGTTTAATGGAAAGCACTATCATTACAAACCCACGGTACCGCGATGAGCACAAAGACAGCAGTTTCCTCTCCAACTTTTTCATGGCATATATTGAAACACAAAGTTTAAGCAAAACCGTCTTTAAACCAACTGTTTGAAAACGCTACGTAGATGACATTTTTTCCTATGGGATGATAAGTAAGCCAGACGTAGTAGCTTTCTTCGCGGAACAAGTAAACTTACATCACCCTGCTATGAAATTCACGGCCGAAATATCTGAAAATAAGACATTCTTTTTAGAAACGGTTGTATACCAAGGCAGAACATTCAGCGAAAAATGAGAAAAAGCTATCCTTGACGTAAAGACGCATTTCAAATGGAAACCTTAAAGTATATACATTTTCACCTCCTATCATCCACCAGTTGTTAAAGCGCCTCTTTGACAAACGAGAAGCCTTGAAAATCCTACGAACAAACTCTGAGGAAGTATTTCGGGTTTCAAAAGCGCTTGATGGACAGAGGCTAGCCACACAATTTTGAGAGAAAAATTGCTATTAGAAGTAAAACTCACAGAAAGGAAGGCAGCTCTCCTGACGCAAAACAACAAGGAAGAAGAAGAAATATTGCCTTTCGTGGCACAATACAGCCCTTAGTGTCTATTATAAAAGAAGCTTTAATGAAAAAGTGGAATCTCATACAAAACCAATTCAACCACTACCTTGCCAAAATTTAAAAGAACCACATGAAGTGCTATTTCTTTGAGAAAGGAAAATTATGGCAAAGGACATACTTGTTAGAGCCAAAACATAAGAGGGATAGATGTGCAGCCTGTCACCCCTTGCAGTTTTTCACTAAAAGTAATTTAAGTATCCAAAAGGGTAGAGTCCATTAATTAATTAATTCATTCATTACTTTTTACTGTGCCCTGTAGTCGACAGGAAAACCAAGTTCGCATTTACAATAAAATCTTTGATGATTTTATCAGTACTATATTCATTTGGCAAACAATGGAAATAAACGATCATGTTGCATAAAAAAACAAGAGTTAATGAACTGTTTAGTTGCAATCAAATGAGGCATTCTTACAAGTTTTACTATTTCCTTAGGGATCAAAGTCTTGAAAAGTGGGTGAAATACATAAAAAAATATTAATAATTAACAAGCGTTTTTACTTATTAACTGAGATTTTCCGACAACCGACAAAAATCGAAAAGTTTAACCGACTATCGACAAAGATCGAAAATTTTAACCGACTACCGACAAAGTTACTGAATTTTAACCGACAACCGACAAGTGGACCCCCCCATTCAGACCCTCGAATAAGGTAGTTTTAACTTTCGAAAGATAATTACTACAATTTTGGACAAGCAAGTTAGTTTTAACATTGACGACAAATGATTTTTTCCGCATATTTTTAAAATTCTATAGTTTGACAGAATGCAAAACTCTATTCCTAGATAAGGCCATCCCCCTTTTTTTTCTTTTAGCTTCGAATGCGTTTCCTGATATTGGCTCGGTCGGTCGGATTGATAAAAAAATAACCTAAAAAAAATCATAAGAAGTCTCGGAATAGGAGGCCATGGTACCCCAGGCCGACGGTAAAAAGTCAACATTTACATATTTGGATTAACAAAATACACAATATACTGTAAAAAATGTTCCTGCTTTTCTCTATTCTGTTACTATGCTCCGATTTTTCAGATTAAAAGAATTATTCAAGAGAAAAATGGTTTAACTAAGTGGTTACTTTTTTTTTTTCTGAAATGCCAAAAATTTTGGGTCGGTCGGACGACGCTAAACGGAGAAAAAAAAGAGGATGACCTAAAAGAATCTAAACAGAGTTCGTCATAAAGGAGCCCTCACCAGCCGGTCGACGAAAGCAGTTACAACAGTCGTTAAACGCGCGAGCAGTGTTTTTTCAGAGACCCCTCCAGCATTCAGGAAATGCGATCATTTCGCTCGGGCTTTGTATAACCACATTGTTCTAATTAGAATATGATTACCATTCTAATATGAGTCATCATTAGTTCAAACAAAATACTGGCATCTTTATTCACAGTATGAAATGATAGCGCTATCATGATTTCTTATTTACTGTTACAATGTACATTTAATTACCGGTAGATCGTTTTTAATGTGGTCGCGGTTGTGTTGCAGCAGAAAAAAAATCACTAAATCATGAGAAAATGAGTTCGTTCTCTCTTGACTAAATTTAATAATATTATTAAGTATTATTGTTATTTCTCACTTCCGTTTCTCCGTTCATCAACCTCACGCAGNCAGCCTGCGGCGCTTAAGAGGAGTCTGAACCTGAGCTGTTTTTTCATCAGAATTGGTCGGAAAGTGTTCGTAGATCGACTTTGAGGAACTCAAAGCGGTTTGTCTTGCCTTACTAGCCTTCGGGATCCCTTTACATAATCAGTCCAAGGTTTTTTGGTATTCTGACAACCATAACGTCCCATCCATTCTTTGCGACAGCAGCAGGAAACGCGATCTCCGGGATTTAGCCCTAGTTGTTTTTCAAATTTGCTCCCATCATTGTATTTCGTTCGAGGTCAAGTAGATCCCTAGGGACCTGAACGCCAGTGCGGACTGTATCTGCAAACTCGTTGACTTCGATGGTTACGGCCTCAACGATTCCGTTTTTCAAGGGCTAAATCACCTCTTAGGTCCTTACACTATTGACAGGTTCGCCTGTAGCTACAACGGCGAGTTGCCTAGGCTTAACTCTCGATTTTTTCAGCCAGGCTGTTAGGCTGTTTATGCCTTCGCTCTAAATTGGAACTAGGACGACAACTGGCTTGGCCCACAGGTTTGCCTCATTGTCAGAGTCATCAGACACATTGGGCTCTGCCGCGCTCACGGGAACCCTTGTTCCTCCCCTATTGAAGTCAGCTATTTTCTGGAATGTTTCTACTAGAGATGGAGTGCATTGGAATAGGTTTGTTGTCGACTGGGTTTTATTGCCTTAGTTCCAGGGGTTATTTCTTCCAGGGAAGGCCCGTAATTCCCTTTTCAGATCCAGGCCTTTATTTTTAGGCGTCATAGCGCTTCGAGTTTATTTTCGGCGCCCCAGACCTCCCTCGTCCCTGGCGGGCTTCTGCTCTACGCCGCCTGACGGAAAGTGTTACCTGTGCCTCTACACGCGTGTTATGCGTACCTTTAGGTTTGGACCCATTAGGTTTAGGTTTACGGTCTATTAGATTACTTATTGTACTCTGGTGCTCGGCCAAAACACGCAAAATAAACCTAATGGTTCATTATGTGCTCTGTCTGTTGCGTAGTGAAGCTGAAATTTTAAGTATCCAAAAGGCTAGAGTCCATTAATTAATTAATTCATTCATTACTTTTTACTGTGCCCTGTAGTCGACAGGAAAACCAAGTTCGCATTTACAATAAAATCTTTGGTGATTTTATCAGTACTATATTCATTTGGCAAACAATAGAAATAAACGATCATGTTGCATAAACAAACAAGAGTTAATGAACTGTTTAGTTGCAATCAAATGAGGCATTCTTACAAGTTTTACTATTTCCTTAGGGATCAAAGTCTTGAAAAGTGGGTGAAATACATAAAAAAATATTAATAATTAACAAGCGTTTTTACTTATTAACTGAGATTTTCCGACAACCGACAAAAATCGAAAAGTTTAACCGACTATCGACAAAGATCGAAAATTTTAACCGACTACCGACAAAGTTACTGAATTTTAACCGACAACCGACAAGTGGACCCCCCCATTCAGACCCTCGAATAAGGTAGTTTTAACTTTCGAAAGATAATTACTACAATTTTGGACAAGCAAGTTAGTTTTAACATTGACGACAAATGATTTTTTCCGCATATTTTTAAAATTCTATAGTTTGACAGAATGCAAAACTCTATTCCTAGATAAGGCCATCCCCCTTTTTTTTCTTTTAGCTTCGAATGCGTTTCCTGATATTGGCTCGGTCGGTCGGATTGATAAAAAAATAACCTAAAAAAAATCATAAGAAGTCTCGGAATAGGAGGCCATGGTACCCCAGGCCGACGGTAAAAAGTCAACATTTACATATTTGGATTAACAAAATACACAATATACTGTAAAAAATGTTCCTGCTTTTCTCTATTCTGTTACTATGCTCCGATTTTTCAGATTAAAAGAATTATTCAAGAGAAAAATGGTTTAACTAAGTGGTTACTTTTTTTTTTTCTGAAATGCCAAAAATTTTGGGTCGGTCGGACGACGCTAAACGGAGAAAAAAAAGAGGATGACCTAAAAGAATCTAAACAGAGTTCGTCATAAAGGAGCCCTCACCAGCCGGTCGACGAAAGCAGTTACAACAGTCGTTAAACGCGCGAGCAGTGTTTTTTCAGAGACCCCTCCAGCATTCAGGAAATGCGATCATTTCGCTCGGGCTTTGTATAACCACATTGTTCTAATTAGAATATGATTACCATTCTAATATGAGTCATCATTAGTTCAAACAAAATACTGGCATCTTTATTCACAGTATGAAATGATAGCGCTATCATGATTTCTTATTTACTGTTACAATGTACATTTAATTACCGGTAGATCGTTTTTAATGTGGTCAATCATGCACACTGCTATCTTAGCGACCAAAGGCGGTACACCAGACTCTCCAAAAGCACTGAAAAGATCAATCAGTGTGATGGGAAGCACGAGGATAATAAATAAACCAACTAAAATTATAACCATTTTTACAACTTTTCTCTGTCTTAATGCAAGTATTTTGCGTTTGTAGTGTCGAACTTCAAGACTAGATGTACCTTCACCGTTGGTGGAGAATGTTACGTTTGTGTTCGTGGCACTGATTTCGAGGCTGTTATTTTCGACAGTCCTACTCTCTATGTTTGCTTGCTGATCGTGAATCACTCTCATTTGCCTGTGGCTCGTCTTGAGAAGGAAAAAGTTGATCAGCGTGGCTAGAATCAGTGGTAGCAAACAGAGAGCTATGAGGAAAACCAGCAGATATGCTTTGGACAGGTTGGTCGAGAAGAAACACAGCCCTTGGTTGTTAGAGAGGATCTCCGTTGGGGCAGAACCAACACCCATAACTGGCAGAATGGAGAAGACGACCATGATTAGCCATCCACTTGTTATTAAAGCAGTTGCATTTTTGTGTGTCATAAACAAGCTATACCCGAGAGGATACTTAATCGCTATGAATCTGTCAATGCTAATAAATATTATGTTCAATCGTGACAAACCGTCGAAAAGTACAGTTAAGGCTATCACTACACTACAAGGAATCGAGCCAGGTTGAAAGCCTTCCACAAGACGCAGTGGAATCGCCAAAGAGCAGTTGAGTAAGTCACAAACGGCCAAATTGAAGAGGAAGTAATTCGGAATCGTCCTCAGCCTTCGCTTGTGCACAATGGCTAAAATGACGAGTACATTTCCCGCCGAACCCACAGCTGAGACCAGGAACATGTAAGCTGTAGTTGCAAAATCCTCGGGAGACATCGCTTACTTTTTAATTACTTCATTCTGTGTCGTCTGCCCTTCGAACACATATCACACTGTTTATAATGGGGTATCAGGGTGACCAGTTCACTCCTGTATTTTCATCAACATCCGCTACTGATCTCACTTGAATTGATTTTTTTGTAGTACCCACTTATGTCGTCATTAAAGAGACTATGTCAGCTGCAGTGCGCCTGAAGATGTTTTGATAGTGGGTATTTGAATCAATCAGCAGGATTAGCATGTGGTTGGGCCACAAATTCGGGGTCTTATACGTAATCACACAACAAAAAAGTCAAATGGACTCCCGTAAGGTTTTTTGCTTTCTCATGCAAATACTCCGTGAAAATCATACTGCAATTCAGCTCATTCTTGTAACTGAAGCTTTTTTATCAGCCGTCTATTGTATGCTCTGAATTTCCTTAATCTTTGGGAAAGCTCTGATTTTCTATTTCCTTTGACGGCATAAATCAATTGATGACACACGTAAATCATTTTATCTTTGTATTGCAAAAGAGGTTGTGTTGATAACGTTAAGAAAGAAAACCGACGAAAAGGCGCTAATGTGTTCTAAACAAAAGTGACAAAGCTCTTTTCATATAGTTGGACCTGTATCGCAGTACGGAATTTGAACTGCAACCATTAAATTGATCGTTTTCAGTACTAATGACAATAACTTTCCACTTGTGAGATGAAAATAAATCAGCTCGGAATAATGCGGCTGTTCCAGCTGACAAATTCAAAATATCATCAATATTTAAGAATAATAAAAAACTATGCCTACTTTGCGTAACAAAGATCCTTGCTTCCTCTTTATGATTGATTATCTGGTCTTTTATTCTCGAGAAAGCCATAACAGTAAAAATCAGCGAAAGATAATCAGAAAATTTCAAGTTTGAACAAGATATTTAGACAGCGTTACTGCTTTTAATGACCTCTAATTGGAGCGAAAAGATCATTTTAGGTGGAGCCTTCAGTGAAGACATACAGACATACAGTTTCCCATCTTGCCTTAAAACACATCAGACAACGTTGGGGCGAAGCGATTTATAGGGCTTGTAAAGTACAAATTAGAAAAAAATTCAGTTGTCTTAGTTTATAATGGAGAAACGAAACAAAGTACAGGTACTTGAATGTGCTGTATTTTATGTTCCTGTGCCCTTTTTGTAGCGATTTGGGCTGATTCTGCGATTTTTAACAATCCCTCTAATAGTGAGTTTGGGATACCGGTGCCTTAAGTTGAGGTCCCGCTGATACTAACCTGAGATCAGGCTCTATTTTCGTTTCGCTTGTTAAATAGTAAGAGAGAATGTATGGAAGCTACTTTAATGAATAAGGCCTGATCTCACGTTACGCATTTTTCCACTGAGTAATCCTGAGTAATTAGCTTGGTGTTCCTGTGCTAAGGCGGAAAAAAATAAAGAGAACAAGCAAGACTCCCGTCCAATCAGGATTTTGCTCTGGTTACTAATTAACCACGCATTTGAAGGGCTTAGCAAAGTGAAGTTTCAATGCTGTTTCCTGTTTTCTTTTCAGCATTTATGCTTTTGAAACCTACAGTTTAGGTACAAAAGCCCCGCAAATTGACTTCGCGACTCACTTGATCACAGTTTGGAGCGAAAATTTCATCGAACTACTAATACTGTTGCGATCATCCTTTCGTTTCGTGCGCGTAGCAACCTGGTTAGCAACTGAACAGTTCGATCAGCAGATCGAGAAATTTCGCGCAAAGAAGAGGTAATGAAGAGTTTTCTAGGCCAAACAGAAACGGTGGTAATTTCCTTCAAAGGAGCTTTCTTCTTCAAAACAAGAGATGAAAGAGCGAAGCAATCTATCTGACTGAAAATTTGATTGGTGAGAGCAGCGCTGTTCATTCTGTTTGCGTACACATTGCTTTATATTTACAGTGTACAGCAGCTTGAAGTCAACTTAAGTAATGGATGAATTCGACGAAAATGGCTGGGCACATGTGCATCATGCCGCGTACAATGGGTATTATAAAAGTGTTAATCGCTTTATAAAGTCACGGGAAGACCAACTGGAACTAGAAACGCAAGATGGACAACAACTAACCCCGCTTCTGTTAGCCTGTATGAACGGGCACGTCGAGACTGTACAACTTCTCGTAGAGGAGTTGCACGCTAATCTGAAAGCCAAAGATCGTCATCTATACGGAGCTGTCGAACTAGCAGCGTCAAAGAACCACATTAAAGTCGTGGAGTATCTTTTGAATCTGAACAGTCCCGATCTTCAAGTCTGGAACAATTTGATTAAGGGACTGTCCCAAAGCGAGTTAGAAACGTCCTGTGCAAGAGCTCTCGTGGAACTTACAACTGAAGAAAATGCTGATTTATACTTAGAATCTTTCCTGAAAGCTGGAGGTGTTCAAGCGATTGTCGGATTATTGAAAAATGCCTTGTCAAGTGAGGAATCGAAGGTGTTTGCGTTATCAGTGCT